CACAATTCATACGGTCATCTAGGTGAAAAATGCAAATATATTTCTCAAACCAAACTGACATCAAGTCATAAACTTGGCAAAGGCAAAAACAAACTGCATTAACCGTCTCTGGAATATGTGATCAATCCAGAAAACTTGTTTATGAGATATTTGGTAACACATAAGGTCACAATAAGGTTTCATTCGTTAACATGAACTAACAATGAACAATACTTCTACAGATTTTATTATTATTAATATCAACATTTACTAATACATTCTTAAAATGAAAAAAAAAAAAAAAAAAAAAACTTTTTATCTGTTAACACATTAAAGGTGGCATGGAAACGGCTTCTCAGGCGAGAAACACAAATGGGTGGAGCTTGAATATGTCCATTGGCCTGGGAATTGATAGTTGGATAATTGAACAAAGATGAATAAATGTTGTGAAAGTATAATGCTTGTTGTTCATTCATGTTAGCTAATGGATTAACTAATGCTAACAAATGAGACCTTATTGTAAACTGTTACCAGATAATTGTTTTTTAAGTACTTATGAATGAAGCCTATGGTCTAGCCTAGCGCATGCATAATCAAATTATTTGGTGATGATTTGAAATTGATTATGGACGGCATCTCAAAGCATCTATGGACCCTTTCTAAAACACTGAAGATCCGCAAAACGTTTGCAAGCTACAGCTATTTAGGCACAAACATTATGCCAATCCTCAATCTGCAAGACAACGTGTTCAATATCAAGAATATATTTAACATCTCGTTCATGTATACCCAAAACACTAAAAGCTGTATTTAAGTCTCGATAATACAGCTTAATTACACTTGTCATCTGAATCTACAGAGAACGTCACCTCCAGTAATTAGACGCTGTTAAACAATGGGCACAAGCGCGTGTACACACACACACACATTTACGGGAATCACCGCTTCAGTGCAGCAGAACAACAAAAAGGACTGCAGCATTTCGCCTCACTTTCTCCATTCCTAAATCCACTTACCCGCCCCTTCCCTTCCATTTCCTGCCCTCACTTCACTCATTCACTCGCTCTCTGGTTTAAAACTGAAACCCAGCATGTTCCCAACCTCCCTCAGTAACACAGCTAAACTCCACATTCTCCAGCTATTACATCACAGGGGGCCTCTCAACGAATCCCGGGCCGGTGGATGGTTTTGGAGGAAACTGACCCGCAGTTACTGGAACGGTTTTTGTGTTTACAAATGAGTCTGGTATACAAAGCAGATCCAAGATCATGGACGTCATCGGTTTAGAATATCTGCTGCAATGCTTCTGCAACTTTAAACGTTCATATTCTAAGGAAATTGGTGATTTGGTGTCTGATTGCGATCAAACAGCCTATTGTTTATGACTTGCATTACTGGCAGGAGCATGTCTCGTTTTGCATAATACAGGACAGGATGGCGGTCACACGAAACGCTTCCTCGTGGACATAGGAGTGCAATGCACGAAGCAAAATCCATTAGAACATCCAATCGGCAGTGCAGCATTTAAGTACAGTGAAACCGCATCTGTAGAATACGGCAAAAATGGGATCGCCTCAATTGACTAACTGAATTAAAAGGAACTATTAGGTCAAATTCACTCTCAGTGGGAATCAAAGGATATTATGACTCTTATAGACCTTAGTCAGGGTAGTGCCTTATTTCATTTTTAACAGGAATGAAAACAAGGCTGTGAGGGATAGAATACAGTGCGTTCCATGGATTGTACTGTTGTTTAAAGTGTAAATTGCAGGTTAACCACCACAACCAATTATTGTGTAAATTAAAGTGCTCAATGTGTATATATGTAAAAATTTCTGTCTTAAAATGCGTTAAAATAACATTTATTGGGGTTTCTTCAAAGGTAGCATGCGTTTTACCGTAACTGGGTGATGACATCATAAGAGGGAGAGCGGGCGGTAATGCACTCACTCTGTGTGCCGGTTGAGGGAGAATAAAACGATTCGCGGGACTCCCGCAAACTAGAAATATCTATGAATAAAACATAAAAACGAATAGATTTTTATTCATCTGTTGCAGAAAAGCAAGAACAACAACTAAAACAAAATAGAAACGGTTTACAGGCAGAGTTTCTATTTCTAACATGTCTGCAGCGTTGAGCGATGTAGCCAATCAAAGACATATGTGTTGATTTCTTGAACGCAATAATGGCCAATCAGAAGCATTTACGATGGACTCCCCTCACCGCTCAAAACTGACTTTTTGTTCAGTGCTGAATTCTGTATGCTGGCAAATCCTCTAATTATAACAAACAGTGTATATATTATGAAAGATTCATTGATAATAACAGAGATGTGTGAGATCGCGATGAACTGATGTCAGCTTTTTAGGAATTATTATGGGAGCGCACTCTGCGAGCAGTCATGCCAGACCATGCACGCAGTAGCCCGCTTGCTTTTATGTTATAATAGTGATCAGGAGCATGTATGCTGATGTGTATGGTGGCGACACGTAGGCTAACTTGAAAGTATTTGGAGGTACAGAAAAAAAGTCTTTTTGCGGGCGGGAGCGGGACAAAACATAAATGTTGCGGGCGGGAGAAAGTAATATAGAAAGTAGTTGAGAACGTCAGTTATAACGACCCACGTATTAAAAAATAGTCGGGTTTAAACCGGGCTCATAATTACAGTTAATGTGTCGGGCAGGGCAGGGCCGGGCTCGGACACAGCGCGCTCGGGTAGGGTCTTGCTTGATTTTTTTGGGCCCGATCTAAGCTCTACCTCGGGTAAGTTATGCTAACACTTACAGGCACGAATCAGCCGTTTGTCCTTGGGAAACTTGTGGAGCCTCTCCCCCGTTTTTGATGTATTCGTACATCCCGCACAAACACAATAGATAACCATTTTTGCTAGCTAGGTCTCCAATACAACGTAACTCCAGGCCTGGAGCAAAGACAGTAAAAGCTTGGAGTACCTGTTATGACGTCACGCCCAGCCTAGTGGAAGGGAGGGGGCGTGCTTAAAACCACTGTAAAACGCAGCAACTTTTCATATTATATTCAGCATTTTGGTATAAAAAACATAAAAAAAACAATGGTGGGCGGTTCTTATCTTTATGTTTAGTAAGCACATTGCATTATCTTCGTGAAAAATTTTACCTGCAATTTACACTTTAACATAACAATTGTTCAGTTGACAAATGTCTTCCCCCCCCCCCCAAAAAAAACAGTAGACAAAAACTCCTAACATTTTTTTTTTTTTAAGTTGCGAGCTGTGACAATCTACGTGATCTAAGACGTTCCATTGTACGTCTATCCCTCACAGCCTCGTTTTCAATTGTGATAAATTCATTATTGGCGTCTATTCTGACTAAGGTCTATACCCGAGTAGACATCAGCAGCTCTTCATAATGGTACTTCAAAACAGATGTCAGCAAAAAAAAAAATCCCTGTGCATTAGTGAAGGATCATGTGACTTATTTTCAATTGTAATCATATTTCACAATATAACTGTTTTTACTGTATTTTTCTCAAATAAATGCAGCCTGGGTGAGTATAAAAGACTTCTTTCAAAAACACAAATCTTACCCAACAACCTTTTGGGTGTCGTTTACATATACGTAAACACACAAAAGTAGAGAAAAAATGACTTTTTTGCAAGGGTACAACATTTAAGACACCTTGTCTTAATAAATGACAGCAAGCCATGCATGTTTATCCTCATCCCCATATTTGTTTTCCTCCAGTATAACATCGTTTTGAATTAAATTATCAATCAACATTCTTCTTAGCTCAAACTCTTTTGCAAAGGCTGTTGTTGTCAGTCAAAAGCAAGGCTGCATAAAGGCTTCAGTACTGTTACAGCCTGTTCAGCACAACATGTTACAGGCCTACACGTCCATATGACAGTCAACCCAGGGTGGCTTGTTCTAGTCTGTAGCTGTTGGAAGTGGGTGTGAACCATTCATTCATCCGTGCGAGAAGAGCAAAACTAGGCCTGCCAGCGATGAGCTCATTCGTTTAGCCAACGGACTCCTCTCTCCAGAACAGATGGGCGATCAGACTGCAAATTTGAGCCAGCGGTCTCTCAACTGTAACAAAGCTAACTTGAAACTTAACCATAACAATTCTCCTTTGTTATACAATTTCAACACCACTGTAGAAATCTAGCTGTATACATATTTGATTTACAAATTAGGTAACATTCACCAAGTCTTGGGAACCTGGCGATACATTTATTTTTGGAAAAAATGATGCTCATCCACTCTATACCTAGCCAACGGTTAAAGTTAGAGGAGTAGGTCCAACTCAAGGACTATCAATTTCAACTGTTTTTCGTGGGCAGATCCAACAGCGAAATGCATCCAAGTGCCTCTTGTTCCTACCACTTTTGCACAACCTTGGGGAGCCCGCGCCCACGCCGCCCTGGAGAGCCCTGCCACCTTGACATTCCTGGAAAAGCACTGCGCAAATTTCACGTCTATACATACATAAAGTTAATCAATGCCTGATGTCTGGTTTTAGCAATTTACAGACTGGAACTGACCCACAGATCATGCACGAGTGCATAAAATAGCATGCCCGTTTCTGCAAATCAGTGCAAAGCAATTGTGATATTAAATTTAGTGGGAAGTATAGCCTACATCAACTAAATTTAATTACAATGCCATCAAGTTGATAGTTAAACAAAAGAAAATACGTTTGACAGCGAGAGAAAAATACAGCCTAAAAACTACATTTGCAATGCAAAATGACTGAAGAATGAATTTCCAATAGCAGCATGATCAGAGCTGCTTTGACAGATGTCAGACTCTGTGTGAACTTGTCTCTTTCAGTCAATGCAAATCTAAAACTCAGGGGGAAAATGCTTAAAAGTCCAGCATAAAAAAGAAAAGTGCATGCAACTGGTTTCAAGCGAAAGCAGCACGTCCATGTTAACGAGAGAAGTGCATAGCGCTGTGATTGAATGAACAAATCCAAGCAATAGGATACTCGGGGAAAACAACGGTAACATGTTTACATTACAAGGATAAATGCATCTTACCAAACCATGCCGTATGCACCTTCTCCGATGTACGAGAGGTTGCTGTAACGCGGCCCGACATCGAAAGCCTGACCGCGGACCAACTCGGCACCGGATCCGGGGTTCGGGCCGCCGCCAGCAGGGGCAGATACCGCAGCTGTCGCCATTTCTGAGAAACTGGGCTGCCTTTACACGCACAACAAACGCGCTTTTCTTACCCAAAGCTGATTATAAAGATCAGGAAAAAGCTCCTCGGTTGAATAAAACACGGCAAGAGGCAGTATAAGCGACGTGTTTAAACGAAACCGAAGACTTCGCGTCAGAGTGAAAGGAAAGGGACGACTGGAACGTTGTTGACTGGCATATATATGTAGTGATAGTAATCTGCGCGTGGTGGTGAGACTGACTGACTGCAGGAGCAGAGGTAGCGCGAGCGAGAGAGTGTTGCCGCAGGAAGTAACGGAGCAGATCACGTGGGCAGGGAGCGGAGAGTGGTTACCATAGAGATAGAAGTTACACACTGACTTCAGTTCTCAAGAGGTTTTAAATTAAATATGCCTTAATTTACGAAGTCAGACGAGGATAATCTGTTGATAAATCGGGATTTATGATGGGTTGGTCATCCTGATTTTACAAAATTATGAATCTACTAATTAGGAAATTATAAACAGATCTATCATGTTGTGGAGACTATTTGTAACACGGATTGAGTTCAGTTTAAGCATAACGTTAAGCACTTATAAACAGTGTTTATAACAGGAAAAGGAAAGTTACTTTTAAAAGTAATGCATTACAATATTGCGTTACTCCCTAAAAAGTATTTAAGTGCTTAGTTAATTTTATGGAAAGTAATTAAGTGCTTAGTTACTTTATGGAATGTAATGTGTTGCGTTACTTTTGTTAACGTTACTTTTTCTCACCTGGCCTGGGCTTGCTTGTTTTTAATAACAAAGAAAACATATATATTTTTGGCAAATGTTAAGACCCTTTCATATCAAAGGTGAAATTAATAAGTTTAACGCTGAATGAAATGTAAATCCACACCTGCACCTTTCTCCTGATTTGTTTTTTCAACAGGTGTCGAATTATAAATGGGGAAAACAAAGTAGGCCTACTGGCGTTACTTATTTTAAAATGTAACAATTAAAATGTAACAATTACGAACAAAATGTAATGATATTTTGTTGTAAATTTAAAATGAATGCGTTGCTTTACCAGTTAAATTCATCTGTTAACATCACAATACTTGTAATGCGTTACTTACCCCCAACACTGCTGAGCTAAAGGGGTGACAAACAGTTGCCTTTAAGTTATACGTCTCTGTGTACAAAGCATTTATCGCTCAACAGGTTCTTGTGTTTATTTTTATATGCAACATCTATTTAAAACTTTCATATTAATGTAAAAAAAATCTAGAAATATTATGTCTATGCTGAAGTCCAACTCATTCGAATGATGCAGCCATTGATTTTGGGATGCAGCTTATGTGGATCCGTACAATCGGTCTTAAAGTGACAACAACCTATAAATACCTGCTGCTGTCTAAGTCATTTTTAAAGAATGTTGGTAATCTAATCAAACACTTGACGTTGACTATTGACTTCCATAGTATTTTGGAATCGTTTTTTCTACTATGGAATTCAATGGTTGATGTGACTGTCAACTGTCCAACATGGTTACCATAATTTTTGGGTGAACTATAGGCTACCTTTAAGTTAATCGAACAGCAAAACACAACTTCAACAAAAAAAATCTGTTTAATTTATACAGAGAACAACAATGTTATTTTACATTTAGGCCTAATTATTACAAGCCTGTACCTGAATACACAACAGTTAGATCTTGCTTTATTTGTAACTTTGTTATATTGTATATATATGTACAGTATGTGAATCAAAAACCGTAATATGATCCGAACCATGAGTTTTGTGATTCGTTGAACACTACTCAAAGGATAGCCTATATTTAGGTGATTTGAGAGCTGTAATTTGGTCATGAAGCAAATACATATTTTTTGCCTATAAGACTTCAGTTTTGCTCTGTTGCCATTTTGTTGTGACTGTACAATCATGCTTGTTCATGTGTCCGTGTACCAGATTTGCTATATCTTCAAATCAAGCTATCAAGTTTTCTCATGAGACTATAAGCTCCTGTGGAAGGAGACCATGGTAAACTATAGTTGAGTGGTTTACTTGTGCCAACCACACTAGAGACAGTTAAACTAAAACCGTCAAGTGTGTAAACCACTAGTGCAGTCACAGAAGAAAATGATGCAAAAAAAAAATCCAGACACCAAACGGATGTGAAAAGTACTTTATTCGCAGTATATGAGATTAAAGCCCAATGTTTGTATCATTGGTTCCAAGTCCATGAAAAGATGCATAAGAGACGCTTCTTACTGGGAAATGCCACAGGATAGCACATTCAGATATTATGTTTTAACAGACATAAAATAAGTCGCTGACATCAACTTTACCCCATGCGAGAACATTAGTTACACGATTCACTGTAGTACTACTGTATACTCAGTGTGGAATTGGTAGGATTTTATCCAGTATAAAACTTCACGAAACGTTACTTGTACACAACATTAGCCAGTAAGGAGACAAAGTTAGGTCCAAAAAGAGTCTGATCCCTTAGGATTATCAGTTAAGTTGCCAGTACAAAAATGATTAAAAGCTGATTATGAAAATTATATTGAGATAAGGCACTTAATCACATACGTACATGTTCACTTTTTAGTAATACAAACAGCAACAATTACAAAATGTCCTTTGAAACAAAATGAAGGCAAAAAGTCTGTATAAAATTGCACATCAGCACAAAATCTATGATGCATACGTTCAAGATTTCTTTATCTTTTCTTTTTACTAGACAAAAACACATGTAAACCTAGTTCAGTGCTCAAACTCTTTTAGAAAACAACATTAATACTACCAAGTAACACAAATGCATTAGAGGTCAAGATCAATGCACATTTTGAATGAACAATTTCATTTGGCACTACTGTGAATGTAAAAGGAATAGTTCAAAATGAAAATTCTGACATCATTTACAGTATATCATTGACTAGATATTATGAAGAATGTTTTAACTGCCCATGCAATGAAAGTCAATGGGGTCCAATATTTGTCAAAATCTCCTTTTGTGACACACACAAAAAAAGACAGTGATACAGGTTTAGAACAACATTAGGCTAAGAGTAAATGATGACAGAATGTTGATATTTTGAGCAAAAATAAGGCATTGCGCATTTAAATACAGGAAAACTATAATTACACAACTGTGATGTTACAAAATTCCCCATCGATGGCACGTCCCATTTCCTAATGAACACAGTGCTAATTCTATGCATAGATTTTTGGCTTTTACAGTCATTGACAATTACGAAACGGATACAAAGGGGAAAACAAAACAGAAAAATACATATTACAGATTTAGCATCCCATATCTAAACTGAAAGAGCAATTCCTTTGTCAATATAGGGGAATTAACACCATATTATTTATGATATACAGTGAGGTCCGGAAGTCTGAGACCACTAGCGAAAATGCTTTTTCATATTGAATTATATTAGTTTAAAAGTCATTAAAAAGAAAATATAAATTAATACATAATATATATTTGGGATTTTTATTTTATTTTATTGTTTTAAGATATTCATATTTTTATTTAGCAAGGTTGAATTAAATGTATCAAAAGCATCAGTCAAGCATCATAAATGCCGTTCTTTTAAAATGTAAAAAAAGTATACGTTTCCACAAATATATTAAGCAGCACAATGATGCTGAGAATTCAGTTTTGCCATCACATGAATAAATTTCATTTTAAAATATATTACAATAGATTTTTTTTAATTGTAATATTTCACAATATTACTGGTTTATTGTATTTTTGATCAAACAAAAGCATCCTTTGGGAGTATGAGAGACTTATTTAAAAAAAAAAAAAAGAATGGTAGTGTAAATATTTTAAATCCCAGATTTTCATTGTGGTCTCAGACTTCAGGATGCCACTGTACATTTGGGAAATTTTTAAATATGGTGAATAACGTGCATTGTAAGGTAATCTCAAGCAGTCTTTTTTTATTCAAATATCGAATGCATAGGACTGAAACTACCAGGGACAAACAAGACATTTTCCCCATACAAACACCAAATCAACATATCGCTCTGTCTTCACCTTCCTCATATGGTTTACATTAGGTTAGCGATATTCTTGGCCTTATCACATTATAGTGACTGTGCTACTATATCAGCTACTCATCACGAGGCTTTCAAAATATTGAGTGGCTGTAATGCGAGACGACTTGCAACATGCAGGACGTGTGGTTTGCAAAGCCTGGCTATGATAATACAACACACACGCCAGTATTAACACTGATATTTAGGGAAAGAAGGCACTGCAACAAAACGCATTAGGAAATGATATGAATAAATAAAAGTTTACTGTACATTTAGAAAAAAACTACAGTAGCGCTCAGCAACCGAGAGATGATCTTGGCAAAGTCAGACTCGTAAATACATTTTTGGCACATGAAAGAGCGTGTTTACACAGTACAGTACAGCCATAAATATATATATTTTTCTCAAATAAATAACACTTTTAAAAATACTAACCACCTACAACACTGGAGTACATCTGCTGACAAGAGCTGAAGGCCTTATTTCATTATTGAAGCCAATGTGGTCCGAAACGCAATGCAATACTGTATCTGTTAAGACAATTCACATTAGTTTTCTCTCCGTTGTAACAGTCGTATCAAATAAGGAGTGCAACGAAACAAACTACGCACTGAAAGATTTCCTTTAAATGTCTCAAAGGTTTTACATAGTTTTTAAGCACCAGTAAATGTAAATATAAGCTGGTAAAAACAAGGCAAATAGTTTAAAAAAATGGAAACAAAAATGAAAGCAAGTTCAGACTTAGCAACAAAGAGAGTTAATAAATGACCAAGGATCCGACATTCTTGGGTGGGGCAAAAAAACGAGAAAACACCTTCACTGACGTTCAATGCTTTCTTCTGAATGCATGAATGGACTCGTTTTGGATTACCTCAACAATCGCATTTTCTTTTCAAATTCAACAACTCACATCATTCGAGACGGTGTAAAGACCATCAGCTTCTATCATGTTTAATTTCTTCCCCTTTCAAATGACCGTGGCTGCAGCCGTAGCTCCTCCTTCCTCTGTTCTCGAGCTCGTCTCGTGGGTCAAAAGTTGCTGCGGCTCCTTCAGGAACACCAGAAGAACTGTGATGTTATCACTGGATCCAGCAGCTTTGGCCTGGGCCACCAGACTTTGGGCCACGTCCTCCCCCGAGCCCCTGCCCTCCCTCAGAGCTTCCAGGACCAGCCCCGGGACGTCCCCAGGCCGAACCACGTCAAAGAAGCCGTCACAGGCAAGGAGGACGTAGTCTTCATCCCCGTTCAGATGGACCGATGAGCTGTCAGCTTCATTAGAGACGTACGGCTTCTGATCAAAATCACCTTTTGAGGATAAGAAAAAAATATTTATAACATTTATTTGACTAACTTGCATTGTAAATACTACTACTATAAATAAGTACTACATTACTATTAAAAAAAAAAATGTAGACACTTTTTACAATAGCAGCAAATTAATCCATTTAGCTATAAATAGAGCTGGGTAATACAGCTAAAAATATACGTTATATATTACATATATACAGTACACTATCGTTCAGATTTGGGATCAGTATGACTTAAAAAAAAAAAAAAGAATTCATCAAGTTACAGTAAAGATATTTATAATGTTACAAAATATTTAGATTTCAGATCCTGAAAAAAATGTATCAGTTTCCAAAAAATATGCAAGCAGGACAAACTGTTTTTAACATTAATAATAATAATAAGAAATGTCTCTTGAGCAGCAGATCAGCATATTAAAATGATTTCTGAAGGATCATGTGACACTGAAGACTGGAGTAATGATGCTCAAATTTCAGCAATTTCAGCTTTGCAATCACAGGAATAAAATATACATCTTAATATATTTCACCATTTATCCTAATATTAATGTATTTGCCCTGAATTACTTACTCTTTTTTTTTTTTATAATAGATTCAAATTGTTTCCCACAGTTTTTCACTACATGAACAAACAAAAATTATATTATATGCACCAATATAGCATCTTAATAATCAGCAATATTTACCTACATATATTTTATTAACACATCTTAGTAAATGAAAAAGATCATTTCCGTGAACATTTGAGCAATTATTGAATCGGAGTTTTGTATTGATACCCTGAAATGAACAGTCTCCTTTTCTGCTACTGAAATGTAAATCAGAGACACTATTAAAGCGTCAATCTTATTACTTAATTTTAAAAAAAGGACATTAAAATCACTGAAATATTCACATTGTTGAATATTTAAATATCTTGCAAATATTCAATATATCGGCCAGGCATACTTGTAACTACTTAAGGAGCGATTCACACGGTTAAAAAAGCAAGATGCGGGTCAGTGGAACGAAAAAAAAAAAAAAAGCGCAAGATCTAGAGACGTGTTTTAAAAAAAAAAGTTTAACTACTTTTAACTTGAGCGCCGTGTGTCATGAGAGAGATGCTGCTAAAGATGCGAGATGTAAGCACAGCGGTTAAAGATGCGAGATGTAAGCACAGCGGTTAAAGACGCGAGATGTAAGCACAGCGGTTAAAGACGCGAGATGTAAGCACAGCGGTTAAAGATGCGAGATGTAAGCACAGCGGTTAAAGATGCGAGATGTAAGCACAGCGGTTAAAGATGCGAGATGTAAGCACAGCGGTTAAAGACGCGAGATGTAAGCACAGCGGTTAAAGATGCGAGATGTAAGCACAGCGGTTAAAGACGCGAGATGTAAGCACAGCGGTTAAAGATGCGAGATGTAAGCACAGCGGTTAGACGCGAGATGTAAGCACAGCGGTTAAAGACGCGAGATGTAAGCACAGCGGTTAAAGACGCGAGATGTAAGCACAGCGGTTAAAGACGCGAGATGTAAGCACAGCGGTTAAAGACGCGAGATGTAAGCACAGCGGTTAAAGACGCGAGATGTAAGCACAGCGGTTAAAGATGCGAGATGTAAGCACAGCGGTTAAAGACGCGAGATGTAAGCACAGCGGTTAAAGACGCGAGATGTAAGCACAGCGGTTAAAGACGCGAGATGTAAGCACAGCGGTTAAAGACGCGAGATGTAAGCACAGCGGTTAAAGACGCGAGATGTAAGCACAGCGGTTAAAGATGCGAGATGTAAGCACAGCGGTTAAAGACGCGAGATGTAAGCACAGCGGTTAAAGAGGCGAGATGTAAGCACAGCGGTTAAAGATGCGAGATGTAAGCACAGCGGTTAAAGATGCGAGATGTAAGCACAGCGGTTAAAGACGCGAGATGTAAGCACAGCGGTTAAAGACGCGAGATGTAAGCACAGCGGTTAAAGATGCGAGATGTAAGCACAGCGGTTAAAGACGCTCAACTAGCGTGTGTTTACATTGAAAAACAATGAAAAACTAGTGCAGGGGAATGGAAAGGAAAAACACATTGGGTCTCATTCATGAAACACGAGCAGAACGAATTTGTGTAAATCGTGTGTAAAGTGGTTCTGGCGTAAATTTGCGGATTCATTAAAATGTTCGTATTTTCCAAATGTTAGTTGGTACACAAGAAATCTACACCTGCTCCCAGCCACGCGTAAATAGTGCGCTTAACACCCGAACGTTTTGCTCATTTATAAGGCTGCATTTTAATTCACCTTAATCGGGTACATATTTGCACAGCTTTTTGAAAAAATATCATATATAGTAATTACATACGGTTTTTCTTATTATGAGAGCCAGTAATAGCATCTGCGATGGCGAAGCTTCTCCAGTTTGAATACTATTTTTCCGAAGTGAACTAATTCGTTTTTGCTCTCAAGCTTAATGTCGAACCATTTTCTTCTCACTTCTGGGATTGTTCGATTAATGAAACTCCATTAACTGCATCTGTAATATGCTGCCAAGCTTCCTCTTTTTTTTTAGGACCCGATACACCACTATGTGCGCTTGAAAAAAAAAAAAAAAGTGGCGTTTTGAATGAACTTCTGATAATAAAACTTCAATTTCTGCATCTGAGAATTTTTTTTTTTCATTCGCATTCATGTCATAATATGATGCCCATATATAGTTGTCAGTCGGATTTAATGGGCGGGATTTATGGTAACTGAGAATGAACGTGCACGCGCATCCCATTTACGACTGATTGGAATTCATTAACACACACACACACACATTTCACTATCACATCTGACGTTTACGAAGTATTTGTGAATCAGGAGAAGAGTTTTCGGGAAGGTCTCTTTACGCGCAAATCACTCGCATATTTACGAATGTTTCATGAATGAGACCCATTCTCTGTGAAATATCTGAATATTTCTTTGGTTTGCTGTTGTTTTAAGGCTAAGACATTCACCTATTGCTCTGGAAACGGCATAGGTACCATTTACCCGCCAACAACCCATGAAAGCGATGCATCCACCCAGATCCTCAATCCTTTTCTTCTCATCCTGCACAGAAGCACAAGCACAAACAGTCAAAATACTGGAGCTTTTACATACTATATTGAAATAGGACAAGCAAACCCCTGTATTTCCCCAATTACAAATCTCTTAATCTTTTGTATAACTAATTATATACTTATTTTGCATGCAACATATGTTCAGAAACAAGGATTTGAAGTCAATCACTGCCTCTCTAAAGACCATTCTGGTGCTTTTGGCACTCAGTCGCTGTAGTAAGTATGCAGCATACAGCGCTAATATTGATTCAGCATGTAGTCAGCAGTCAGTTCCTCTGTCTCACATTTCAGCAGCTCACAGAGAACAGAGGACCATCTGATACGGTCCTGTGGTTCAGTCTCTATAGGTCAGCAGTGGCTTGTAGGGTCTCGTACCTCTCTCTCCGGTTTGTGCGGGTCCATTAGGGTCACTGGTTCTCCCTGTCGAACCAGCATAGCTTGAGAGTCGCCCAGCCAGGAGACAGTGAGGTGATCAGAGGTCAGTAAAACAGCCACACCAGTGCTGCCACTGCGCAGACGCTGAAGGAGACACAAACAAAACAATGTTTAGTTTGCCATCCTGTGGTCACAGAGCGTGCCACATTATTTTTATTTTTTTAAATAATTATGATTCTCATTACTGTAATACAGTAACTGAATTTAGTAAAAGCAAATACTAAAATCACCATTTACAAATACTAGTGCTGTCAATCGATTAAAACTTAAATTAACTTAAAACTTATTCAAAATTAACCGCACTAAATTAAATAAAGAAATTAATAAAATGGAATAGAATTGATCAAAGTAATAAAATAATAAATGAACATTTTTACAATATATTTTTGTAGCGAGTGCTCAAGTGTCATGTAAATATTATCACAATGAAAAATGTACCCACCCATTCATATTTAAAATATTTTAAATTGTGCTATTATGTTCAAAATTAACCATTAAATTAATTTAATTTTCCATTAAAAATGTAAATAAAATAATTAGCGCATAATAGTTAGCAAATAATCAAAATTAATTTTATTGTGATATTTTATTCAAAATGAACTGCACTGAATAAAATAATGAATAAAATATAATTTAATAAAGTAATTTTGTAAGTATTAATTGCTTAATTTTCATGTCAATAATTTCACAATGCAAAAAAACACCCCCAAAAAACTTAATGGGTCCAAATAAATAATTTACTATTTACATTTAAATTACTCTACAAACCTACCATTAACATTTCATGACACTTCATTCAACTAATTTGGTATAATTTAAGGCTTTCAAAAATTAAACCTTTTCATAAAAAATAGATAATTAGTTACTTGTTTTATTGAGTGGTATTGACTGGCCCATATAAACTGTCAAGTGCATGTCAATTATTAACAGTAAAATGAACTCTTGTTTACGTGCACTGTCCGTGTCAGTGAAACAGAAAGCGTTTACTCATTTCTGTACCTGTGGAGGCAGACAGAGACTTGCAGCAAGCTTGCTCCGTTTTCTTACCATATATTTAACCACAGGGGGAACATGGACTATATTTATCTGTATTTATTACAGCGTAGGAACATTAGATGCACATAACGGTTGCATCTTAAGAAGTGGGAGAGGTGTGAAAATATCTCTTTCCAACGTGAATTTCCACAGAATGCACCAGCTTGACAAGTAAGGGGAAAGATAATCTAACCGCTAAACCAGATTGTGCAGTGTTTTCAGAAGCAGGTAGGCTGATAAAAAAAAAAAAAAAAAAAGTGTACACTTTGAAGAAAGCCAGCACAAATGTCAGCTAACTGAATGATGTTTTTAGTAGTGCATGTTTAAAAGTGGTGATTCGTTTATACGTTACACATACAGTCTGGTTCAAAAGTCTGAGATCATACTAAAATCTGCTATTTTAATAATTCCTCATTTTGTTTTGAAGGTCTCATTCAAAAAGGGTTCAATTTTTTATATTTTGCCAATAAACCTGATTTGCAATAGGGGTTGATTAATTTTGATTACAACTGTATATACATTTTTCTAGCACTCTAATTGATAATGCTTTTGGTTGTTCTTGCCTCTCTCTTGGCTTTGATCTTGAACATGTCATCCGTCTGTGTGAAGCTGCTTTTGAAGGCTGTGGCAGCATGGCTTTTTAGCGCCTCCTGCTGGCTCAGTATGATATGCAGGTGAGTGGCAGCATATGTGGCAGCATCCACTCCTCCGTGTCCATCAAACACTGCGTAATACTCTCGATCTACACCATCCTATAGAAGAGAAACGGAAATCAGAATCGTTCTTCAGACACAATTTTAGTCCAAGCAGAAAAGTCCTTAAAGATTCTGTTCCAAACCTATTAATCTCATGCTGAACATAAAAGAAGATATTTTGAAGAATATTGTGACCAAACAGTTTCTGGTCCCCACTGACTTCCATAATATTTTTTGTAGTATGGAAGTCAATGGGACCAGCAACTGTTTGATTACCAACATTCTTCAAAATGTTTTCTTTTGTGTTAAGCACGAGATAGAAATTAATACAGGTTTGGAACAACAAGGGTGAGTAAATGATCGAATTTTCATTTTTGGGTGAACTTACTATCCCTTTAAATAAAAACGTTGACCTTTTTATTTTATTTAAATGTCCCAAAACATCAGTCCAAATAGAAAACTTTAACTCCCAATATTATCCTGGTATTATTCAGCTTATGAATACTGCATATTCGGATATACAGTACATACAGCATTTTGCATCCTAATAGTGAAATATGCCTCTAATGGATTTCTTGCGAATATTTCTGAACTTTAGAGTTAGAGAGTATATTCAAGGTACCCATTCAATTTAGTTTTTCAACTCTATACTTTGGTCGTAAAAATGTTAAATTACAAGACAAATCTGATAAATACTAGATGAGGATTCTGTTGATAGCTTGCCAAAAAAGCTATAACCAGAAAATGGTTAGGGGCAAACTGATCTGGTACCCAATTTACCGGCTGAGTAATAAATATACAACTATATTGTTTATTGAATTACAAAAAAGGCTGTATTATTGTAATAGCTAACATTATTTTGTTAACACAATTGATGTGTTATTTGTCCTTTTTTTTTTTTTAAGTATTTGTTACTACTATTATGGATGTAATTTCTGTTTCTCCTATTTATTGATTTATTTGTCTTTCAGCCAAAACATCCAATTGTTGATTGTCTTGACTAAGATTTCAGGTACCATCCAAATGTAAGAGAATGTTGAAATTACTGTAATAAAAACCTAAATAAATTATAAAAATAGTGAAATATGCATATTGGTTGGTTATGGTATATTATGGTATGCACATGTTTGGTTAAATATCTACCCATGCACCCCTACAACTGATCTACCCAATGCAGGTCTTCCTTCATTCATTGAAGTCTTGAGGAAATATGTGGTAGCCTCACCTTCAATCCAAGAAGCTGGTTAAACTCTTTCAAGATCATGTGACGATCCTCCATCTTCCTGCGAGTGTTTCGAATGGCGTGAACAGAGCAGCTGTGTGTCAGTGAAGAGGACGAACCGGGACTGGGCAGCTGTTTCTGCCAGGCCACACACACCTCTCTCAATTTATTTATAAAGAGGCGCTGTAGTGGCTCAGACTGCAACACTAAAGGGTCACACAGACACATACACTCATCATAATACAACATTGTTTGAATAGAAGTTTAGAAATCACACACTCAGACTGAAATAATGTAAAGAGTCAACACAGGCATGAACTTTACCCAGGAGAGATAAGTTTTCAAACATAATGTAAAAACTGTACCTTCATGTACTACTTTTGTTTGAACACTAGAGGGCGTATTACAGGTGCAGAAAGCGATTATAATCAATAGTTTCATCTGACCACAGGAACCCTGTGCTGTTTGTAGTTCCAGTCGTGTCTGACGACTGAATATGCTGAAGTTTGTTTTTGGAGAAGCGATGAGGATTTTTCTTGAAACCCTCCCAAATGTGGTGATGTAGGGGTTGTTTGATTTTTTTGGGTTGGTAGGCTTCTGACCCCAAGACTCAAGTAATCTCTGCAATTCTCCATCTGTGATCCTTGGAGAGTCTTTGGCCACTCAAACTTTCCTCCTCACCGTGCTTTAAAGCAACACTAAAGAACTTTTCCTCTGCGGTCTCCCTACAGGTTGGAAGCGGAATTGTCCATTACCGCTGTCGTAAATAATTTAACCTACCGCAGCCTACTGTCACACACACGCTCCCTGTATATCCAACACTTTGGAATGAACGATGTCCACAGACAAGGTAGAGTATGTTGCATGATTTCATGAAAGTATGATGTATGGCGACATCAGAAACAAAGAAAAACTAAATAATGACTATTGTAACGCTTGACGTAAAGCAAGTCAAATTTGTAGTTTTCTTGTGTCTCATTAGAACTACAGAAACGCGACCCGTTCTGGCAAACTTACATAGTGTGGTCATAGCAGATATAGGACTGCAAAGCGAAGGCAGAAGTGCCTTTCACCCGGTTATGACTTGATGAACCGCTGAAACGATTTTGGAAACATTATTTTAAGGTAAAGAATCTTCTTTAGTGTTGCTTTAAGACAATATAGACATACATCCTCTTCCTGGCAGATTCGTAACATCTTTAGTTGATTGGAACTTCGTAATTATTGCCCTGATGGTCAAAATGGGGAATTTCAATGCTTTAACTATTTTCTTACAGCCACTTTTTATTTTGTGATGTTCAACAAACTTTTGATGCACATCAGAACTATATTCTTTGGTTTTACTCATTGTGATGGATGATTAAGGGGAATCTGGCCTTTGTGTTTCCTCATATTTAAACTCCTGTGAAACAAGGAGACATGTTCATGTTCCTAGTCACCCTGGTGTGCTAAAAAAAAAAAAGTAAATATTAATGGGAATATACCTCACAATTATTGGCACCCCTAGAATTTTTTACGAGTAAAATAAACTCATATAATTGTGGTCAATGGGTTTTGGAGAAAAACATTTATTTCATAATGTGATTTCCCCCCCACTTTCAATTCTTTTACTTCAATGAAAGGTTCGATTTTTGCCATGTTTTTGAATGAAAGATCAAAAGGATAAACAATGCGGGTTTATTTTTTACAGACATTTTTGATCGTATTTACCAGGGGTGCCATTAATTATGACCACAACTGTGTATATGTATATATATATATATATATACACACACACTCACCGGCCACTTTATTAGGTACCCCATGCTAGTAACGGGTTGGACCCCCTTTTGCCTTCAGAACTGCCTCAATTCTTCGTGGCATAGATTCAACAAGGTGCTGGAAGCATTCCTCAGGGAGTTTGGTCCATATTGACATGATGGCATCACACAGTTGCCGCAGATTTGTCGGCTGCACATCCATGATGCGAATCTCCCGTTCCACCACATCCCAAAGATGCTCTATTGGGTTGAGATCTGGTGACTGTGGAGGCCATTTTAGTACAGTGAACTCATTGTCATGTTCAAGAAACCAATTTGAAATGATTAGAGCTTTGTGACATGCTGGAAGTAGCCATCAGAGGATGGGTACATGGTGGCCATAAAGGGATGGACATGGTCAGAAACAATGCTCAGGTAGGCCGTGGCATTTAAACGATGCCCAATTGGCACTAAGGGGCCTAAAGTGTGCCAGGAAAACATCCCCCACACCATTACACCACCACCACCAGCCTGCACAGTGGTAACAAGGCATGATGGTTCCATGTTCTCATTCTGTTTACGCCAAATTCTGACTCTAACATCTGAATGTCTCAACAGAAATCGAGACTCATCAGACCAGGCAACATTTTTCCAGTCTTCAACTGTTAAATTTTGGTGAGCTCTTGCAAATTGTAGCCTCTTTTTCCTATTTGTAGTGGAGATGAGTGGTACCCGGTGGAGTCTTCTGCTGTTGTAGCCCATCCGCCTCAAGGTTGTGCGTGTTGTGGCTTCACAAATGCTTTGCTGCATACCTCGGTTGTAACGAGTGGTTATTTCAGTCACTGTTGCCCTTCTATCAGCTCGAACCAGTCTGGCCATTCTCCTCTGACCTCTGGCATCAACAAGGCATTTCCGCCCACAGAACTGCCGCTCACTGGATGTTTTTTCTTTTTCGGACCATTCTCTGTAAACCCTAGAGATGGTTGTGCGTGAAAATCCCAGTAGATTAGCAGTTTCTGAAATACTCAGACCAGCCCTTCTGGCACCAACAATCATGCCACGTTCAAAGTCACTCAAATCAACTTTCTTCCCCATACTGATGCTCGGTTTGAACTGCAGGAGATTGTCTTGACCATGTCTACATGCCTAAATGCACTGAGTTGCCGCCATGTGATTGGCTGCTTAGAAATTAAGTGTTAACGAGCAGTTGGACAGGTGTACCTAATAAAGTGGCCGGTGAGTGTATATATATATATGTATATATACACACAAAATACAATAACCCCAAATGTCATAAATAGAAAAGAACAAGAATCAAATCAAGTGAATCACTTACAAACAACTCCCTGTTCATCCTCCGGTTGCTGTTCAAGATCTTTGGGGCAGTAGTGAGGTGAAAGGTCATCTTTAAGCAATTCAGTGACAGCAGCATTGCACATCGCTGCACCCAGCCAGAATGGGGCATTTCTTTAAAAAAAAACAAAAAAAAAACAAGATGACGAATCTCATGTGTGACAATAACACACACACTCAGGTAACTTGTATTACCGTTCAAAAGTTTGAGGTCGGAACGATTTTTATAATATTTTTGAAAGAAGTCTTTCATGCTCACCAAGGCTGAATTTATTCCATCAAAATAAAATACACTAATATAGTGAAATATTATTACAATTTAAATAAACAAAATCCTATTTAAAGATTTGAAAGTGTAATTTATTCCTCTGATGGCAAATCTGAATTTTTCAGCATCATTACTACAGTCTTCAGTGTCACATGATCCTTCAGAAATCATTGTAATATGATGATTTGCTTCTCCAGAAACATTTCTTATTATTATCAATGTTGAAAAAAAGCTGAGCTGCTTAATATTTTTGTTGAAACCATGATACATTTTTTTCCCCCAAGATTCTTTGATAAATAGAAAGTTCAAAAGAACAGCATTTATTTGAAATAGATTAATTTGTAACATTATAAATGCATTTACTGTCACCTTTGATCAATTTAATTAATCCTTGCCGAATAAAAGTATATATTCTTTGGAGAAAAAAAAAATCGTTTGAATAGTAGTGTACACAGTCAGAGCATGTTTAGGTAAAGTAAAACTTTGGTTGACAAATGTAAAAAAAAAAAATGTGATAAGTTCATTTTTCTCTAAATCATACTTGTGGATTTTCACAAACTGGAGTAAAAAGCACATCTTGCACTAGTGAACTTGTTCTGTTTTTAAGATTAGATTTAACACTTTGCCTGCTTGAGCTACAATTGGCAAATGGCCCGACCACCCACTCATAACACCACAAGAAGCATTTGGCTGCGTGAGATGTTATCTAATGACACAACAAGATGTCAGAAAAGAAACTGCCTTTTGTCCTACTTGACAAGAAATGCGGTAACGTCATGCCTCTCTGACCTATATCATATCATGAAAAGGGTTAAACCTGACAAATCTGCACTGTGCAGACATCTACATTCGGCACAGCTTCCGACAAAGAGGAAATGAAGTCTAAATGTCAGGAAGTGGGTATAACAATAGTGGTTCCACAGACAGGAAGTCTGCCCTGAGAAATGCGTCAGGGGAGAGAGAGGGAAAAGGATACAGAAAGAGATTTAACAAAAACGCCATTGTTAATTTAAACTTTAAAACTTCTGCACCAGCGCTTTCACTTAATGCTTGGATTGCCACCGATAGTAAAATACTGTCTGCAAATTACAGAGAGACAGCAAATGGAGGAGAGAGGCAGGAATGACAGGAATGAGAGGAATGACAGGCTCCTCTGGTTAAAGAGGACAGGTGTCGCAACATTTCCGGCCTGCTTGTGGGCCTTTTAAAAATCCTGTACATGTTTTAAAAAAATTAAGAAGTAAATTCAGGACATGCAAACACAAATATAAAGCCGTATTCATAGCTGAGAGAAGGGTCTGCCATCCAACAGAAAATATAAATGCATTCTCTCTTCTGCAAAAACCTACATCAGGGGTTTTCAATCAGGGGGGCACAAGGGAGTGCTATGGGGCATTTAGAGAAAAACAGAGTAAAAAAATTTAAAATAAAGAAATGCATAATAAAACAGAAGATCTAAACAAATAAATAAAATAATTAAACATGATTAAAATAAAATATTCAACTAAAACAAAAAGGAGAGAACCCTCTGGGGTCTGCAAGGGAGTGCTAGAGGGTCTGTGTAAAGCATTGTAAAAATAAATTACATATAATAATAATAAAACAGAACATCTAACTAACTAACAAAATAAATAGATTTAAAAAATAAATTGTGGAAAAGTTAGTAAAAATAAATAAATAAAACATGATCTAACTAAATAAATAAATAAAGATTAAAATATTTATTTAATCAATAAATACAAATTAATAAAAATAGTCCAAAAAAAAAAAAAAAAATATATATATATATATATATATATATATATATATATATATATATATATATATAAAATAGTACAGTACAATAATGAAGAAAAATTTATGTAACATAACAGAAACTAAATATTTTCAAAAAAATATTTTACACATTTATAATATAAATTGTTCACAGTATAAATGGCATCTTTATACATGAAAATATTTAGCTGCGTTTTAAATTATAGGTTTGGGGTCCCTTGCATGAGGTTGATCACGTTTGGGTGTCCATGGCATCTAAAAGATTGAAAACCCCTGACCTAGATGACATTCAGAGCATGCACATAACAAACCTGTCTGAGAGCAGGCGGAGGCCGAGATCCAGACTTTCTCCCTTCACCTCCTGCAGAGAGACTTTGCGGCTAAGTGGGCTGACGGGAAGCAGGTCTTCTGTGCCGAGTGGGTTTGGAAACTCCTCCAGAAAACTCTTGAGAAACTTTGCAGCATCGCCTTGATTCGCACAACTCATTGTATGGAATTGCAACCTCTACCAAGGTAGGAAGTCAGGGATGTCCAAAGCAACTCTGATGTTTGACTCTATACATAAAAAAAAATAATAAAAAAAAAAAAATTAACACAATATAACCTTACATAATGATCTAGGCTACTTGTAAATATACTTGCCATTATCAGGTCACAAAGCAATTTTGCTAAATGTAATAGTACAGAATAACATATGTATACATATATACATACATACATATACATTTATATATGACAGTTAGCCAATCAGAACAATCGGAAGTGGCCCCCTGTCATCCTCAACCAATGGCGTGGGTTTGGGAAGGGGTTACCTGTTTGACCGAACTATAAAAACAGAGAAAGTATTTTTTTTTTAAGTTTACGCTTAAAGATTATTTAAATAATTAACGAAAAGAAACATATGCATTGTGATACACCGCACAGAATGTATCCAGTATGCAGTAACGTTACACCAAATTCATACTACCCACAGATTTTCATGTTTGAGCAAAAACATTACCCATATAAAACCCAGCATAACTGAACTTCTTGCAAACTGCAGTGCATTACATGCAGGAAACTTTGTTTAGTTCACACCTGCAAGGATTCATGATTTAATGACTCTACGAAAAAAATTGCCCGTACTGTCGCCATTTGGAAGCAGAACAACCGGGCCTTCAACTAGCAACTGGTTAGTTTAATTAACAACATAAAAGAGAACATAGACGTGCATAAACGTGTTGTATTTACCTTTACGGATGGTTGGTGTTGCTTTATGCGCCGACACTCCCTTTTTCCCTGACGAGTGCGGATTGAAGAGCTCGTGCATGAACGCACGCCCTTTCAGTCACTACACAACAAAAGCCAGTCCATCTGCGGAAGTCCCTGTGACCGAGAGGAAGTACAAACATAGCGATATACAAGTGATAAGAACAGACGTGTGAGGAGCGGAATAGACTTGTTAGAACTGGACGAAGTCAATCCGTTTGGTTGTCAGATCGAGTTGGCTGCCTGGGCGGAGATATAGCTATCTTATGAATATTAATACTTTCCCTTTAATGGGCCAGCCAATGAGCGCCCAGTCATTCGCTTAACCTAATTAATATTCATAAGCCAAGGTATAATACTGCTCAATATGGAAAGAAATGGAAAGTAATTTCTGTAATAGCAACAAGTTTTTTTTTCATAAATTATTTTCATTGTATATGCAAAGATGCACTAAGATGGACCAATTCAAACATGTAATATTATTATTAAACATGAAATTGATAGACAAGTGAAGTGGCACCTTTACTCTTTTTGTTTTATTAAACTCTAAATATATATATATATATATATATATATATATATACATTTTCTCTACTCATGGACATGGTTTGCATAATGTGATCAGTTAAACATTGTAAAATGTTGTTCATTATATACTCTGAATGAACATTTCTCATGATATTATATGTTTAAATGCATATAATCATAACAAAAGTGTTTGAATTCTTGAGTAAATGAGTGCTTATTATAATATTTTTAGCATGGATGTAACTGAAAATGTGTTTTTAACAGTATCAGACATAAAATACTTAGTAGTACTTTTCTTTTAAAGAAGCACTGTTGTAATACCATGCTACAGTGATGGTATCAAATGGAAATACCGTGGTACATGTAAACAGAAACATGCTTTTGCTGTGGTACCATGTCCAAAAAAACAAAAAACAGTAGTATTATAGTCCGTTTTTTTTTTTTTTTTTTTTTTTTTTGCTACTTTAGGCATGTTTATTTGAATCATGTTTAATGTGTTTCGGTTAAAGTTTATGTAAAGTGATTTATATTGTATCTATAAAATGTTGCATATCGTTGCATATAGATGTGTGTTGGCCAAAATAAGAAGCTACATGTATAGACAATTCAGAGAAAGGTGTTTAAATATCATTTTGTTTTTCAAATGATGCATTGAATATAAATTACGCAACTTTATTTTTAAAATCGACATGCAACGGAAGTTGCAATAGTCTTTTCTTATCTATTGTATATCTGAGTGAAACGAGGGGGAAAAAATGTGCGGCGGGACTTGATTTTGTCCATCACGGATTGACTGGATGGTTGTGGTTTGCTATTGGTGGATCTCATGTGAGTGACAGGTTGTCCCGCCCTCGCACCGCTAAACACTTCATCGGAGAAAAGATGTCGCTGCACATGGGAGGGGAAGTTAATTAAATATTGTCAAAAAATGATGATGAGCATAGATAAATAATATATAATAAACACTGCAATATTCAATAAAAAACAAGATTTGTCAATTTTGATTTCATGGTGACTAAGTCGCTTTGGATAAAAGCGTCTGCTAAAAAAATAAATAAATAAATGTGTAAGCAGACATAAGCCACAAAAACACACACACAACAAAAAAAACAGCAAAGACTAGTTAAACTAAAAACTTTATTGCCATTTTCATCTTTTTAGTTTGCACATTGAGACTAATTAAGCTGGCTTTAATTTTCTACTGCAAGACAAATAAGCTTTACAAAACAGTTTATACAAAGTACGCTGCCAGGGCTGCCATTTTGTCTTTAGGCTTTTTAGGATTCCCTCTCCCCATAGGCCTCCTCCCTCTCCCCTTCCCTCTCCCTCTGCGGGCTCCTCCGGCCCGGTGCATGGGATGCCGCATGGTCGCATGTTTCAGCTCCACCAGATCCTGGAACACAGGATCGCAAAACACGCAGCCAGTGTGCTGCGTTTCACCATCAGGCAATGGCGAGCGTGTCTTGTTGAAGTCCACTATAACCAGAGACGCTTCGCAGGAATCACAGCTGTCCTGGGACACCTGCACTTTATGGGCGTGCTCGAAGAAATGCACCACCACGTTGCATTTGTTGCAGGCCATGCGCCACTTTGGGCCCGAGGTGGGATCGAAGACCAGGACACCCGTCTCACATTCAACACACTGACCGATCCCAAGAGAGTTGAGGGAGTGCTGACAGGAAGGGTGGGTGCACTCGTTACAGCCCATCCCTGAGGGAAAGAGAAAGAGAAATTACATAAGGGCTATTCTTTTAGGAGAACTCTTATCTTTTCTTGTTTTTAAGAGTGTTGTTCCTGTTTCAACACAAGTGTTAAAAGGTTACATTTGGCAGAATCTTGGACCTTTCCCCCACCCAGATATTTTTATTTTACCTCTATAATACATTTATAAAAAAGCTTACATTTTTATATTTTATATGTTTATTTTAAATAGACTACTTTTTAAAAGTTAAGGGTCAGAAGGATTTTTGAATGTTTTTAAAAGAAGACTCTTATGTTCAGGTTAGGCTTAGGTCAGAAAAACAGTAATATTGTAAAATATTATTACTATTTAAAATAAGCTTTTCCTATTTGAATATATTTTAAAATGTAATTTATTCCCGTGATGCAAAGCTACATTTTCAGCATCATTACTCATGACAAATGATCCTTCAGAAATCATTCTAATATGCTGATTTGCTGCTTAAGATTTTTTTTTATTATTATCGATGTAAAAAAAAAAAAAAAAAAAAACGTGATACAGTTTTTCAGAATTCTTTGTTTCATTTGTAAAACTGTAAAAGTCTTTACGATCACTTTTGATAAATTTTTTTTTAAATATTAATTAAAAAAAAATCTTACTCACCACAATATTTTTATAATATAAAATGTATATATGTTATATTAAAATAAATAAATAAACATACACACATATATATATATATATATATATATATATAGATATAATATTATTTAAATATTAATAAAAAAAATCTTACTGATCACAATATTTTAGTAATATAAAATGTATATATGTTATATTAAAATAAATAAACATACACATACATACATATATATATATATATATTAGTACTGTGCGAAAGTCTTAGGCATGTTAGTATTTTCACGCAAAAAAAGTTAAGCCAGTTATTTATATCTTTTGCTGTAGTGTGTCAGTAGGAAATATCAGTTTACATTTCCAAACATTCCTTTTGCCATTATTGTATAATCCAGTGTGATTTTTGCAACACACGGAGATCCGATCTCACAAACATCGAGTCCCTGTGGGATTACTTGAAGAAACAGAAAGAACTGAGACAGAAAAAATACAGAAGAACTGCGGCAACGTCTCCAATCCCTTCCTTTTTATTTTCATAAACTTGAAAGATTGTTTATCCAACCAGTATGAAAAAAAAATACCTTCATCACTTTATATGAAAATGCAAAGGTTTATCAAGGGCATATCTTGATTACTGATTTTTTACATATATGAAACCGTTTGAAAGAATCCTAACTGAAGAACCACCCAAAAACAATTTGCTTTGAGAAACAGAGCTTTTTGGTCTCTCCTACCTTTCTTCATGTCTCTGAAGGGAGGGTTCCCAAAGCAGTATGGACACACAGGGTAGCTTTTGCCACGCGACCCCGAGGTCCAGAGCACCAGCTCAAACTCATCCAGAGGACACTTGAGCTCTTTGTACAGCTTAATGGCTCCGTTCTGAGGTAAACTGTACGTCTCGTCGCAGTGAGAGCAGTGCAGACGACTGGGTTTAGCCTAGGGTGATTACAAATGACAGTTTAGACCATATTTGATAGTACTACATCATGATTTACCAATATATTTAAGTTTTTCCTGACTTAATTTTCTACAAATTTTACTCTGCACAATGACTTAGCAGCAGCAAAAACCTCTATACTGTGTAAAGACTTCAGTACATTTGGATCGAGAAAATCAGCATGCAAGCACTGGACATGCAGTCCATTTAACAGGAACATTAGACCAACAGCCTAAGGTTGTAGTTGAATGATGAGGGACATTGATGAATAATTTGAGTTATATCACATTCAGATTGACACAGGAGAACATTCAGATAAAAAGCTTCCTCGCCGAAGGTCATTTTCAGGTGCACGGGTACAGGCGGAGAGAACGAGAGAGATGAGAGTCTGTCTAAAAGCCCAGAGTGAGTCACAGCGAGGAAAATATATAAACCACGTGATTTACGCAACGGCTATACGGATGGTAATCAGGATCAAAGTTAGTGTAGATGTAAATGCTCTGGGATAGAAAAGCTTTAAGTTTGGCTGCGTTACTCACTGTGCTTATTCAACATCACTGACCTCTCAACCTGACGTCAGATTTTTAAACAAGGTATTTTTGATGTACAAAGCATTAAATACTTACAATAAAATACTATTATTCAGCAAGAATGCATTAAATACATTTCTATTTCAAATCAATTCGGTTCTTTTGAACGTTCTATTTAGAGAATCCTGAAAAAAATGTATCATGGTTTCCACAAACAATATTAAGTATCACAACTGTTTTAAACATTGATAATAATAAGAAATGTTTCTTGAGCATCAAACCAGAATGATTTCTAAAGGATCATATGACTGAGTAATTCAGCTTTTCATCACAGGAATACATTACATTTAAAATATATTATAACAGAAAACAGTTATTTTAAAATTGTAATACTATTTCAGAATATTTACTGTATTTTTTATCAAATAAATGCAGCCTTGGTGAGGATGAGATGTAAAAAAGCGACCCAAACCTCTGAACTGTAGAGTTAAATGGTTACTAGACACTAAGGTGTGGTGGTAGGTAGTTGAGAGGTCAAAGTTTTAGGCTTGTAATCAGAAGGCCAAAGCCCTCTATGATGTGTCACAATCCTAAAATAGGTCAATCGGTTTGGGTGAAGGTCATGGATCAAAACCCAAGACATAGTGTTGCAATCCTTTAATTGAGTGTGCAGAACTGAACTTTGCTCCATATTGAGACAAGCGTGTTTGGTTAAATATCTAACATTCTTCCATTTTACCCTAATGTCAACAGTTCAAACTAAGGTTGTTGACAAAGAAAGTAGCTAAAACACAATGTCTGTACATGCTAGTTATGAT